CGCATACCTCTCACAGGTGTAGCATTCACAGTGCTCGTTCTTCTCACCAAAGAAGCCCTCGCCATAGAAGCATGTCACTTCGTCCCCTGGCTCAATGTCCCGGAGCACCTTCACACAGGCAGTGTTGCCATCTGAGGGCACAAACTGAAGCCATGCCCACTCAATAGCCCAACCTGGGTCACAAGGCAGGAGCTGACCAGTTTCTCAACCTGACCAGGCGCACACACTGTTTTAAGGTTCTGTAAGGGGACAGGCCACAGCTAAGGAACCCTACCCCCACCCCACCATTTCCTGGCAGCTGCCCTGGCTAGAGCCTGGCCTGTCTTCTGTGTCTAAGCCCTCCCTGCAGGCTGGGACCCCCAGCAGTATGCGGGGCCAGCAAGGACCACTCCTTGTGTTCTTCCCCCGACTTGTGCTCAGTGCCAAGCTCCACACCTCAGACTTACCTGCCCATGGCATAGTCCCTCTAGAGCCACCACTCCTTACCACTCTGCCTTCAGGATCACTCGCCCCAAGGTTACCCTACAGACTCGGTCATTCTTGTCTCCCTCTCATATCTGCATCTGCCTCTGTACTCCCTACCTGGAGGAGACGTGGTCATCCTAGCTATCTAGCCAGCCAGCCTGCCACTCAAACCTGACATCCAAAGATGCCTCCTTGCCTGATGGTCCACACCAAATGGCCAGGGCCTCCTGAGTGTGCCCCCTCCTGTATCCTTGTCCTTCTCTCCTCCTGCCCCTCTACCTTCGGTTGGTCTTTCATCACCTCAGGGTTCATTACCTGCCCAACTCCCTAAGACCAACCTCTCTCTATACAGTCCTTTCCTTCCCACTAAGCCTCCTGCCACACGCCACCACAGCCACCTAGAACCCAAACCCCCCACTCTGCTGTGGGACACAAGGAGTGGTCCCTGCTGGCCCTGCATACTGCTGGGGTCCCAGCCTGCAGGGAGGGCTTAGACACAGAAGACAGGCCACACTCTAGAAGGAGAGTCAACTAAGCTCACTAGCCTGGCTGTCACCATCTTTGCCTCATTACAGCCCTATCATATGACGTGAAATGTCTTGCCCTCTTGTGCCCCTGATTTCCTTCAACACTTAGAAAACCTCGGATACTCCAAAGCCTGCTGGTTCCAGATCACCAAACGAGCTAGTGACCGCGTGCATACTGCCCTTTGCTTTCTGTCCCACCCAGCGTCTGAGTGCAGGGACTGGTGAGGGCTGTGTGTCATTCATCCTGAGAGCCTCTGACACACGGAACAAGTCTGCAGTGTCAGATGTCCACCACCTGACCCCAACAACTGTCTTAAGGGCGTGGACAGGAGAAACCTGAGGCCAGACAGTACAACCATAACTCTTTTCAGTTCTTAGTCAGGAAACTGAGCTTTGACCCTGACTCATGCCTTGGGGGCCCCCACAGAGGGCAAGAGGTCTGTGCCCTGACAGTACACAATGGGTCAGGGGCTTCCCAGAGATGCCACTTACATTATTATCAATTATTATTATTATTATTATTTTTTCGAGACAAGGTTTCTCTGTGTAGCTTTGGAGCCTATCCTGGGACTCTTGTTCTGTAGACCAGGCTGACCTCAAACTCACAGAAATCCACCTGCCTCTGCCTCCTGTGTGCTGGGATTAAAGGCATGTGCCACCAACACCTAGCCCATTATTTATTATTATTATTACTTGATTTCTTTTTAGTTTTTTGAAGACAGAATCTTGTTACTTTATCATCCTAAGTGACCTGAAACTCACTATGTGGATCAAGCTGGCTTCCAATTTGCATCAATCCTCCTGCCTCTATCCCTAAACACTCATGTCACAGGTACAAGTCAGCGTGCTCAACTAAAACTCTGCTTTTGTTCCTGCTGGTCCTGTGGTTTGAACTCAGACCACTCGTATGCTAAGCAAGCACTCTAACCTGAGCTGTATCCCTGCTCTGTTTGTTCTTTCTGTGGTACTGGTTAACGTAGGGTCTTGTGCATGCTAAGCAAGCATTCTACCCTGAGTTAGATGCCTGGACCTTTTGAAATATAGTTTAGCTGAAGTTTCCCGGATTAGCCTAGAACTTTGAATTTTCCTGCCTCAATCTCCCAAGATGCTGGGATGACAGGACCACATCACCACACCCTACTAGACCTTTGTGACATGTTCTGGCCCATTTTCTTCTCCCTCCCTCCCTTACTCTGCCCTTCTAACCACAGTTTCTTAGCAGAGGTCCTTGGTCTCCTGGATTTTCTCCACTTCTCCCCTGTGAGTGCCACCAATGCTGCCTGGGTGAGATTAGCTAATCTGTCTCCCCATCATGCCTTAGGCTCCATTTTAGTCAATAGCCCAGGCTCTGGTACAACAGTGCAAACACACTGATGCTCCTGCCTCCCCACCTGATATTCTGGGGTACACGTGCCTTCCCATGCTGCCCTCTCCAGGTGCTGCCACCCACCCCACTACAAGGGACTATCGAGGGTAGGAAACTGCAAGGGACTATCGAGGGGTCCAAAAAACACCCCTCCCGAACCCTGATTTCCCACGTGCCGGTCCCTCTCACACCCTGCAGGCCTCACCTTGCAGTTAGGTTTGCAGTCTGTCATCGGTTGGGCGGACACGAGAGAAAAGAGAACAAGTGAGCAAGTGAGCAAGTGAGCAGGTGAAGGCAGCCCCCCCTTTCCCTCATCTCCGACACTCGCCTGGCCTCCAGCACCTTCCCACTAGCCTTGCCCTCACCGTGGTTGATGAAGGCAGCTGGGCCCAGCCACAGCTGGGCACTCCTTTTCCGGGTGGAGTACATGATGCTGAAGTCGTTCTCCCCGGCCCTAAGCAGGTGCTCGTCTTCTTGGCGAAGCTCGGCAATGCAGCCTACCAGCAGCTCCAACTTCTCATTCTTCTTCCTGCTGACAGGCTAAGCTGTAGGGCTCTGAGCAAGGAAGGCTTCCGGGTCCTTGCTGGGGATGAGGGCCTCCCATGCAGAATGGCTCAGGGAACCAGGGCTCTCCCTCTTATCCCCAGGTGCTCACCTCTCACTAGCCCCACGTCCTCTGGGCCCTACCTGCCTCACCCACAGGGACCCAGTCTGTGCTCCCAGCAGCCCCCTTACCAAGCGCGGGTA